GGGAACATATTGTTTTTACTCTGTTTCTTATTATTATTATTATTATTATTATTATTATTATTATTTTTCTTCTTCTTCCTGGGTACTTTTTTGTCCGGGAATGATCTTGTAAACTGTTCGTCCGATGTAGGTAAAACCTTTCTAGGGTCAGTAGACATGTTATGTAGATTTGCGGAATCAAGGTCATTTTGTGCGCACGTGCTTGCAAGAGCGCGCACGTGCAACACGTGAAATGACCAATATAAGAGATAGAGCCGCAACTTTTCTTTTTTTTGATGAAATGCTTCGAAACTCATAATGTGAAGATATATTAGTAGTATAGACATGATGACATGGTCAAAATTGCAAGATCTCACGCGCATGCACGTGCGCTTCGCTCTGATTGGCTGACACTAAAGTCTCAATATCTTTCTTGTTTTTTGACGAAATCCTTTGAAATTTTAAACATAGCCATGCATTATGATATCCTACAACGTGATATATAGCAATTATCATGAAAACACGTGCATGCACGTGCTCTGCAATCTGATTGGCTTAAACTTCAAATAGCTATAACTCCCTTGGTTTTCAACCAAACAGGATGGGGTTTGGAACATAGATAGATATTATAGACTCCTACAAGAAGGTATGGTCACCATGCACATGCATACACATGCGTGTACGTGTGCTGCAATCTGATTGGTTGAAACTTTAAACAGCTATAACTCCCTTGGTTTTCAACCAAACGGGGTGGGATTTAGAACAACGATAGATGTAATGGACTTCTATAAGAAGGGATGGTCACATGCCCGTATATGCACGTGTGTGCACGTGAAATGAGCAAAATCAAAAATACACTTGAATGAGCGTATTTTTTAAAAATATTTTTGGATTAACTACTTTCATATTTAGTATATTTAAATATATAGATCATGTAGACATTAAGCACATGCATTCACATGCGCACGCACGCAATGCCAAAATTTGAATGAACTTGGTACACTTCTGGGTAAACGTTGTTAAAGTCTCAAAAACAAAGAGTTTGTCTTATTTAATGAAGCTTACAGGGAATATGGCACCCAAAGGGAGTTGGGGAGCGTTTGGGGAACATCTGTAACGGTCCCCGTTACAATTAGCACTAGTTATTATTATTTTTCTTCTTCTTCTTCTTCCTGGGTACTTTTTTGTCCGGGAATGATCTTGTAAACTGTTCATCCGATGTAGGTAAAACCTTTTTAGGATCAGTAGACATGTTATGTAGAATTGCCTAGTCAAGGTCATTTTGCGCGCACGTGCTTGCAAGAGCGCTCACGTGCAACACGTGAAATGACCAATATGATAGATATTGCCGTAATTTTTCTACTTTTTTATGAAATGCTTTGAAACTGATAATGTGAGGATATATTAGTAGTACAGACATGGTGACATGGTCAAAATAGCGAGATCTCACGCGCATGCACGTGCGCTTCGCTCTGATTGGCTGAAACTAAAGTCTCAATATCTTTCTTGTTTTTTGACGAAATCCTCTGAAATTTTTAAATTAGGCATGTATTAGGATATCCTACAAAAAGATATATAGCAATTATCATGAAAACGCGTGCATGCACGTGGGCTGCAATCTGATTGGCTTATGCTTTAAATAGTAGCTATAACTCCCTTGATTTTCAACCAAACAGGATGGGATTTGGAACATGGATAGATATAATGGACTTCTACAAGAAGATATGGTCACCATGCACATGCATATACGTGCATGTACGTGCGCTGCAATCTGATTGGCTGAAACTTTGAACAGCTATAACTCCCTTGGTTTTCAACCAAACGGGGTGGGAATTAGAACATAGATAGATGTAACGGACTTCTACAAGAAAGTATGGTCGACATGCTCATGTGAGCACGTGCGTGTACGTGAAATGAGTAAAATAAAAAATACACTTGAAGTAGCGTATTTTTAATACTTTTGGATTAAATACTTCAATATTTAGTATATTAAAATCTATAAATTGTGAAGACAAGATTATATGGTCATTACGCACGTGCATTCACATGCGCACGCGTGCAATGCTAAAATTTGAATGAAATTGGTACACTTCTGGGTAAACGTTGTTAAAGTCTCAAATGCATAGAGTTTGTCTTATTTAATGAAGCTTATAGGGAATATGGCACCAAAAGGGAGTAGGGGAGCGTTTGGGGAACATCTGTAACGGTCCCCGTTACAATTAGCACTAGTTTACACTATCATTACTCATATCACTCAAGTTATTGTTACTAGACCCACTCACCTCAGGGCTCGTATTTGCTTTCCGTTTCTTGTTTCTAGATTTTCCCATGTTTTACAGTAGATACACAAGATATACTTTTGTCCTATATCCTATTTACCTCCTATTTACCTCTAGAAACACATAAACTTTCCTTAGTCTCCAAGAAGTAAACGCCACGATAGGCACTGAATTCAGCGACCGTGACGAGCGGTGAAAAACACGTCCGTTCACTTCGAACACTACTCTCTCCAGGCGGTCATTGTTCCTGTTTTCTGCTTTAGGAATTAGTTATATGTGACTGCAAATTACCGGGCCGTCGGACTACTGGGCTGTCGGACTATCGAACCGTCGGACTACTGGGATATCGGACCGTCGGACTACTGGGCTGTCGGACTATCGGACCGTCGGACTACGGGGCTGTCGGACTATCGGACCGTCGGACTATTGGGCTGTCGGACTATCGGACCGTCGGAATACTGGACGGTCACCCTGAATAAGCCTTACGAAGTCCCTTTCTGATGGATGTTTGTATCTTATTTTTTTTTCATCAAGAATCAGTCTTGGAATAAATCGCGGAATTGTTTGTAACACATACCAAAATATCAGCTGCATGCATGTAAAAGTGAGAAAATAAAACCGGAAAATCATATAATAACAAACAAACAGAGGAATAGAATGACGGAGCCTATGGTTCCCTCTTGTTTTAACCGTGAAGGACTACACAATAAACAAATTCTTATTAAATTAGACGTACCAGGTATCTAATGACTAGAAAACCAAGTCTCTGCAGAGAATGTCCTGGGCTTGAATATGCAAAAATGAAATAATCTTAGCAAAGAGTATCCTTTGGTTGAAGGTTTTCAAATTTATCCATACGAAAGACCACTCCTTTTCCCAAGGTGGGGGGATTAAGAAAAATGAAAAATGGGTTTTGTCATTAAAAGATTTTTTTCTTCGCAAAAACCACTGCGTCAAAAGAAAAGAACTTATGAGAAATTGTAGATTCAAGTTTGTTCAAATCATTACCCCGGGGGCAAGGGGATCAAAGACATTGGTAAAAATAGGAAATGTCTTAAAAATCTTCTTCTCAAAAGCCATGTTAAAGAAGCATGCCCAGAAATTCTTGATTCAAATGTTGAGATCATGGCACGTGGGTATACGATGAGACAACAAGGGGTCAAAATTTACATACATGTAGGAAAATATAGGAAATCTCTTTAAAAAATCTTTTTCTTAAAAGATGATTAGCCATACTATTATAAAAATAGATAGTTTTAATTAATTTTTTAAACCATAATCCCAGAATCAAAACAGGGGGTCAAATTTTAACATAGGAATCTATAGTATTTTAAAACGTCAATATTAAAATCTTCTCAAGAACAGCTTAGTTATTTTAGTCATATTATTAGTTAAAAGGCATCTTCGGAAAGTGTAGATTTCTTTTTTTTTCAAATGATGACCTCTCATTGGGGATATTGCGCTGCCATTATAGAGGGGGTTATAGCACTTTGATATACATAGGACATATCTTTAAAAATCTTTTCAAAAGCCCATAGCAATGAATGGTCATATTATGATGGAAACATCCTCATTGTAGATTCCAATTTTTCTTGATCATAAGCTCAGGGTGTAGGGAGGGACCACAACAAGAGGTCAAAGTTTAACATACGGTCTGTATATGTAAAACTATATTTATGTAGGAAATGTCTATAAAATTTTCATCCTTTGGAATATAAAACATCCTTATAAAAATCAGATATAAGTTCAGGTTTGTTCAAATCATGACCCCCTATGGTTATGTGTGATAAAAAAAGGCGATCAAAGATTTACATAAGAGAAGTCCGGGGAAAAAATCTTATAAAACCTTCTGCTCAAGAACAGCAAAGGCATGATAAGTCATACACTGTATTAAAAACAAAACCACCCATTGATAGTGTGATTTGAATTTGTTACAATCTTGACACTCAGAGATAGGGTAGGTCCACAACGGGACAAATAAGTTTTTCTCAAAAGCAACAATGGGGGACTTATATTTTACATAATAATATATTGGAAAGAATGTTTAAAAATCCTCTTTTCAAGATCACAATAGCCATGATAAGTCATATCAATACGAAAGCGTCCTCAGATTTTGCAGATTCAAAATTGTTATAATCTGGAACCACAAGTTAGGGTCGGCCACAATGAGCCGTTATGGTTTTATTAAAGAAATTTTCAACACTGACCTGATTTATGCATTTTCTAAGCCAATGTGCTCAGGTGAGCAATGTGGCCTATTGGCCTCTTGTCGTTGAAAGTTTTTTTTTTCTGTCCATAGGAGCAAAACAAGTGAAAGCAAATAAAAATCTATCACAGTGTATATTAGAGCTCAATTAAATCATGTTTTAAAAAATATGAAAACTAAATTTGTAGAATATAAGCATTTTCTAAGATCAATATACTGTCAAAGGAATTCGTGTGGAACATAACTAACCTATGTATAATGTAGAAGTATATCTAAATACATGTAAATCTATTTTTCGTGAGTAGTTTAATTTCCTTTATTTAGGTATGAGGAGACCTACAAATTCATACAACATAATTTTAGATATATAACAACTCAGCACCCCCCCCCCAAAAAAAAATCTTCACAAAACAGTACGTGTTTGTCATTGTGTGAAAAATTGACTAAAAAACGAGTTTAAAGTATCAAATATACTAATATAATAAATAATGTTTGGAACAAGATAACTGCCTCCAGATAAGTACTTACCGCCTACCTTCAGACAAAGTGACCTTCACAAACGTAATGCTTGACTCTTTCAGATAATAATATCACGTTAAAATATCATCTAGACGGACCAAGGATGGGATTATTTTTGGTGTTTTCTATTCTTTTCGGCCTTTTTTCAGTAAGTATTAAAGTCAAACCTTTTTATATGTGAATATATTAATTAAAACAAACTTATATATAATCTTTTTGTTTTAAAGCACCAAATATCACAAAAAGGTTTAAAAGATGAATTAAGATTAAATTTTGAGTATTTTCAATTATGTGCCGACTTTGCAATATAATTATTTTCATTTAATTTTTTTCTATTTCTTTTTTCAGTACTCCTCGTCTGTTACAATCAATGAACAGACTGTCAATTTTTATGAGGACTGGTACAATGTAAGACTTTTTTCTTTATTTATTTCCCGATCATGACAAGGAGCACACGGCGGGTGTGACCGGTCTGCAGGGGATGCTCACTCCTCCATGGCACCTGACTACACCTCCTATGTTTTGGAGGTCCGTCTTTGCTCTGCTCCTATTTTGTATTGTTTTATGGATTCGATATTGAATACTGTTCGTTATCTCCATATCCTTTATTTCTTTCTGAAAACCAAGATAAAACATTTGGCGTGTTGCTCTAGATAGTCAATTAGAATATATGGTACTTAGAAAGGCCCGGACTTTGATTCAAAGAATTAATCCCTTCATCATATTAGATATTTTCTGCTACAGTGTAATTGTTCAAACTTTGTATTTCCCTTAAAAAATGTAGTGTATGTTTTTATCTTCCTTCGGTTTTAACATCATTGACTATAGTGGCATATAACAAATAAATATGGGCCTATTAATAATTTTTTTTTCGGTTTTGACAAGAATCAAAAGAAATGTAAATGCATATAGTTTAAATAGTTTAAATTTCTTCAACTGCATTAGGATAAATATTATTGGATAGTGGAAACAGTTGTATTAATACGAATACTTTTGTGCATTAAAATACCTGTAAAATATCAATTTTCTGTTCATTTTTGTTAAGCATTATCTGGTGTTAGTAGACGGAACTAGATGTTACTTTTGGCAAACCACTGGCCAAGATTCCGAGACACTGAAACTTCAATCTGGACAAAGGGCGTTAGAGGTAGGCTTATGTATACAATATGGTAATATCTGAAGTTAAACATGAACATTTTTACTAAATTAAAATCATTTTAAAGACATGTGCTTGTTTTTGCGATGTAATATTTTATCTCTATCTCTTATCAAGATTGGGAAAAAAGAGCGGTTTTGTAGAAAAGGGTCTGTATGACGGTGAATTTAATTTAATTTTTCAAAGCGGGTTTCTAATAAAAGATATTAAAAACTGATGTATAAGAAAACCCAGTATGATGAAAGATTCACAATCAACTGATCTGCTAAATTTACTTATTTTTTAACAATTATAATTTTAATGTTTACAGGCAATGCAAACATGTATGCTATATATCAATATTTTTTTAACAATTAAAATATTTACGAGTAGGATATGTCCAAAGGTTAGAAATAACTATACATGACGTTGTCATAAGCTTAGGCTTTTTCTTTCTTAATTTTAAATTATATTTTTTTTTTACTTCAAGTTTCTAAAATACAAAAATTTAGGATTTATTGATTTATTTTTCATTTTGTTTATGACGTCTTAAAATATTTCTAATAACCCACGATTGACGAATCATTTTTATGATTTTTAGCAACATATGATTGACCAATTACGAAAAGGTGTCCAGTTGACCCAATTCACGCCAAACAAAATGACCGTATCGTTTGTGATTGTCAACCGTTGTTCATCTGGGACGTCGTATATGGCAGCCAGTAAGATCATGTTTAATCTAAAACAATTTAAAATTTATATTTGACCTGATGATTTATTTTATTTCAAAGTTTTCTTTAACATAAATTAAAAACAATGTGTTTGTGGAAATATTCGTCAAACTAATTCTATTTCAAAATTTTTAAAATCATGTTATTGTGGTTCATGTAAAATGTAGATAACAAACAGTATTACCATCCTCAAAAGTTACATAAAACAATACAAATTAGGAGAAAAGCAAACGCTTGCCTCTGAAAACTTCAGAGGTTGGATCGAGTTCCACAGAATAGTAGCCAACAATTGTAAACCTGTCGCATCCTCCATTACATCAGAGATATCAATTTTCCTTCAAAGTACCGGTAGTCATTTTGTAAGTTCTATGGTCGATAAAATGGCCTTGTCAGCAAATACAATTTATCAATAAGCAAATGCTGACTGATTTTTTCATACTAAGTGTCAAGCCCTTATTTACACATTGAATTGTCGACGGATTTTTTCCGTTCTTTTCCGATCATGGCAAGAGCAAACTGCGGGTATGACCGGTTGGCAGGGGGTGCTCACCCCTCCATGACATCCTTAAGAGGTCCCTGTTTGCTCTGCTCCAAAATTTTGATTGTTTAGTGGACTTTTGAACTTGAATAATGCACGTTATCTCAATGTATTTCACTATATATCAGAAACAAATTGTTTTCAAAACTACACGAACACACCATTTTATCCCTTACCCTTAAAGTTTAAATTGCATCAAACAAGATTGAAATATGGTTTACGTTCCCTCTTTATTGTGGCACATGGAATGTTTAAGAAAGTTATGTACACACTAAAAGAATCTTTTTCTGATTCGAAACCGAGACCTGGAAATTTAGTCGTGTTCTTTATCGTTTAGTGTCAAAATCAGCTCGACGAAGATATTGTAGACAATTTCTTCTTTTAAATCGGAAACATTCTTTTTCATGAAGCATGTATTTACGTTTAGTAAGAAAAATGGTTTCTCTGAAAATGATAATGGGTGGGAACATCATTCTGTTTAGATGTTTTCTAAAAAGAAACAAGTAATGTTGACTTTCATAGAAAAAAATTGTTGAACGCGACCAAAAATAAGGTTCCAGTTTTTTTATGCATTCGAGTTATAAATTTTTTTCCTTTAAAAAACTGAAAACTTATTTTCTACTTCTAGGTTAAACAATTAAAACTGTTATTAAATTTACAAAATTTTATAAGTGGAACTCTCTAAAATTGTCTTATTTCTTTCTTTCTTACAGTACCGCCTTCAAACATACACCAAGGATAAAGAAAGTGATTCAATAAACAAAAACCAATATGTCATTTTGGAGTTATCCTTCCTTTGCTGCATTTCAACTCTCTCTCTCTCTCTCTCTCTCTCTCTCTCTCTCTCTCTCTTTCTCTCTCTCTCTCTCTGACAAGCCATAAAAGAATCAAAGAACAAAGAACAAAAATTAATTTAAAAAGATAAAAGATGTTATCTTATATAACTTATATAACAAAATAAGTTTTCAAACCCCTACCACAATGACTGTCTGAGTACGTCACATTTTTTTTTTATCTTAGCGTTTATCTTTCTTTGTTCATGTAGGCCAACAGATATCCCTTTGCTGTTTGGGGGAAAAGGTTCATACTCTCTGTCTATAGGGATTTTAAGATTTTTTTTTCATAGATAATTAAAATAAGAAAGTCGTGTATTCAAACACTTGCTTTGCAATCTATCGTGATAGCTTTACATTTATGAAAAAAAAAACAAAAAAAAAAACTGAAGTTTACTCTGAAAATCTCATTACGATTGGACACCAGTACTTTACAGAATAAAACTTGGTTTGTAAATGTAAATTTGAAACATGAATGTAAATATCTTTATCGTGTCTTTTTTATCCTTGAGAAAATAATTCATTCGATACAAGATTTTTTTTACTCATTATATTAGGTTGATCAATCTCATAGACAACGATGCGATCAAACCCAATAAGCAGTAATCTATATGTACTTGGTTCATTTACTCTGACAGTAATTCCATTTTTGTATAAGAAAAAAACCCCAACAACTATAAAAAAAAAAAACAACAACAAAATACAACTATTCTGACCAGACAGTCGACTGTTTCGAATATTTACTCGGTTATCAATACAGGTATGTTAATCTTGAGACTTTAAATTATAAGAAAACATGGCTATTTGCTGAAGTAACTATAAGTGATATATGCCATTAAAGATACAGCACCAACCAGATCCCACCTATTAGAAAGCAGTCCATGGAACTGTTTTCTGGGACTATTTGGGCATCAGGTTTGAAATGGTTGATAATGTGTTTTGAATTTTTAGATGACTTTGTCCTAATAATTGAATACATGTTGTAATTTTTCATATATTAATCACCATTTATGTTAATTTTGATGTATCTATATGTATATGGTTTTTCTAAGCAAGTACGAATTCGTTGATAAAATTATAGAAGTATGTCGTTAATGGATTTTGACTTTAACTTTTCAATCGTAAAACTTCCCTAACTTATGCAGCAATATACCTTCACCACCTGCATAAGGGGTTTATATATCTCAATTAATAAGGGAAGTTGACGATCGAAATGTTCAAGTCATCACGTTTATCATAAAGCTTGGTTGTTAGATTACCACTGACGTCTTCTTCAAGTACAATATCCAAATATGAAACAGGTGTGTCAGACTCTTTCAGTTCAAGATCACCGAGTTCTATCGCATCGACATAAGAATACAAATAACCATTATTATACCCCCCGCTTGAAAAGCGGGAGGGTATATAGTAATCGTTAATTCCGTCCGTCCGTCCGTCTGTTACGCTTTGGGGTACCCATCTCTTATCCGCAACTCCTCTCATACCACTGAATGAAAATTGATGAAACTTTCACAGAATCTTTATTACATATTGCCATTGTGCACCTCCTATTTTACTTTTTGATCCGACACATATTTTGGGTTTCCCGGCCACAGGAAAACATGGACTTTTTCACCAGTTATAACCATATGGGAGGCGGGGGGTATCATTTAGTGAGCTCATCGCTCACAGTACCTCTAGTTTAATTTAATTGACAATTAGTCGTCCATACATCTTAATATCTAGTTGAAGGCAGTCAATAAAGTACTTTATTGTATATAGCTAAATAATAGTCTATAATATAAGAAAATACCAAAAATCGAGAGAATTCAAGGGTTCAATTTCTTAGTGTTGTATTGAACGCTTACGTGAGTATGCCCGAAACATTCCGAACACGAACGTTCAATACTGAACGCCCCGTTGTAAACAACAAATGTCGTCTGGTCAACATTTCGGAGGCAGATTTATGATAGAAAGTGGCTTCTAGGTAAGAATTGATTTTTCACGCAAAATTAAAATTATTAATTCATAATTTAGTACGTAACGAGCCTCAATAATACCTGAATAAGCAGATCATACCGCTATTCTTATTAATTTGAGTTATTTAGTTGAAATTATTTACATAAATCGATGGGAGATGTCTTAGCTATATAATAAAGGATTTATTGAACTTTTATTGGTAAATATTGGCACTCGTTGGCTGTACAAATGCACGAGCTTGCGAACCCCTGCCAATATTCAACAATGTAAGTTCAATAATCCTATAATATTTCTACAATCAATAAACCCATATCTCAAATAAATTAAAAACAAATCTTAAAATCATATATAATTGTAGCTTTAATTCAAAAGTAACTAGGACATTATTGTATCTTCTGTTTCTTCATCAATAAATTGCATTGTAAAAAGTCATTCTAACTCTACGCGCAAGTACTTTGAAGCTAGTGTTTGAAGAAAACTTTTAAATTTTGACAATATTCATAAAGCTTTTGCAGACAAGGACTTCCAAGAATCTGTCTGAATTCTGATGAATACTAATCATTTTCTATTATTAGCCGATCTGTTGATATATTTTTATGAAGAAGAGTTCATTCCCGAACGTCTACATGAAAAAAGGAATCTTTTGCTGTGGTCTTCAATTTGACATTAGATATATCAAGGATGTTTTATCCATTGACAAGAGTTACTTTCAGGTCGATTTGTTATGCCCCAGTGAACTCGAAATATAACTTAAAACATAACGGAGTATGCCATGTATTAGTATTTTAATGATCTTTTACAAGAATGACCACCTTTCAACTGAGCTATGTGACATACGAGATGACCATTTTTTAGCGTAAAAAATTTTATAGAGAAACATTTAAATTTATTTGCAATAAGATATTTATGTCATGTTCTGTATATTTTCACGTTTACTGCCTTCTATGTTATTTTTAAATAAGTTGATATCAAAGAACATCAGTAACCTCTGTCGAGTAAACCTCTCGTTAATTCGGTATTAAGATAATGGAAGGACTACTGTGCAACTACCTTTCGATCTTTTTCTGATGGAAATGCTACAACCTTATTTTGAAAACGGTTTACTCTGTTTATTAGGTTAATATTGAACAGGTTAATACTTAATCAAACAGTAGGGTGTTAGGGCTTTTAGTTCCTTTTAATAAATGTAATTTATGCGCGTCAACTAGAAAATGTATACAGAATTTTACTTATCCAAATGAATCAATACAATTCCCCCTGTGCTGTTATTTAACCGACATGTGACTTATAAGTAAAACAAAAAGAAATTTACATGTATTTAAAAAAAAACAATTGGAAGCATTCGTTAATGTTATGTTCTGTTCACAATTCATAGTGTTATCAAAACCAACAAAATTAATCACTGTCATTTATCATCAAACATTTTATTTCAGAAACAATGGAGGCTGCATAAATGCTTTTTATTACAATCGTTTAACACAAAAAGTTGACGAACAATTAGTGTAACGTGTAAATCTTTGTGTAATTAAGTAATTTGATTTGGATTTTATACAGTATGTACATCTTAAGAGTTCATCTACTATTTTGTCATTTAACTTTATCATGTTTATTGATACATACGATATATGTTGGTTATTACTTTTTCCTTTCAAAAAGCATATTTAGGCTTTAAACAAGGCATGTACAGAGATTTGAACATGTCATATAATTCGAATTCCACAGATATCATATGTATATGTCTTTCCTAATAGCGAATTGGGTCAAACAATAGGGTGTTAGGGCTTTTAGTTCTTTTTAATTAGTGTGATTAATGAGCGTCAACTAAAAAAATGTATACAGTATTTTACTTATCCAAATGAATCAATACAATTTCCTCTGTGCTGTTTTTCAAAGAAAACGTTACTAATAAGTAACATGAGAAGAAATTCACATGTATTTAAAAAAAACAATTGGAAGCTCTGGTTAGGAAAAAAAATTATTTTGCTCTGGAGACAGGTTACATAATATATTTGCACTCATCATTCCATCAACTCAAACTTTAATTGCTGATGCCCTACATTTTGGACTCTATGTGGCATAATGTCATGGTAGGCAATTTAAATCTCTGCACACTCTACTATATATGCTGATGTCCTACATTCTAGACTTCACACGTGAGTAGTGTCTACATAACTTTTATAATGACTCTTTTTTGCTTAAAAAGGAAAGCAAAATTATCTTACAAATACAAAACAATAAAATATTATTACTAACACTTCATTTTAATTCTATATTACTACGAGGGGGTATCAAAAAGTTCGTGGACTAGCGCCGTAAAATAAAAACCGCTTTAGGTACATCAATAAATTTCAAAATATCTAGTAAGCATCATCTTTTCTATCTATAGAATAAACCACAAATCATAAATTTCATTTTTTAATAAATTAGTAATGTATTTGTAAGCAATGGTATGTCCAGGCGGCGCAACCTCAAAAACGACGTTTTTTCGACCTAAGTGTAACTGAGAAAAACTATTTCGATATAAACAGTTGAAATCCAGATATCACTTTATTTCAGATATGTGTTGGGGCATTATTGTTCCATAAAATATCGAATTTTTATCTCATTCCCGAAGTTCTTTGAAATTTTATCGTAAATTTTACATGGAGTATCCAAACAAATATTGCCTTGAAAATGACGTCAAAAGGGGGGAGGGGTTTCCTTTTCCAACATTCTATAAAGTTTTGCCCTAAAAAAAATGATATAGATCTAGGAAATGTTTAAACTGACTACAGAGAAATAATATGCACCCAGAGTACTTGTTTTTTAATGCAAAAATAGATTCAGAGAGAAAAGGAAAGCATAGTTAATGTCGATTTGTTGTCAAGGTGTGAAAAATCAATCATGTCAAAAATGACGTTAATCATGTGTTGTATTTATTGAAGTCCAAAAAGCAAAATATGCTGGAACAATCAAGCGAGAATCTCTCCCATTG